TCATACCAATGGTTGATTCTGAATCCGAATGAAGAAAGAAGTCTATGGTAAGCACTATCCGTTGCTTTGGAAAACAAATTATGTACTTGCTGTTGCTTGGCATTGTTTTTAACTTTTGTTCATTCTTTTGTTAAGGACCAGGATATGTTAGTTGTTGTTTAATTGAAGCAAGAAAGAATATAATGACATGCTGTTTTTGGTTGTCTCCAGGTCTGAAAAATCCACTTACCTTAATGAGCTATGTGACTCCAATAATGGCAATTGCTACAGCTTTTCTGTCTCTAATATTGGATCCATGGCATGAGATAAAAAGTAGCGACTACTTTGATAGCTCATGGCACATAGTCAAAAGTTGCTTGCTGATGTTTTTTGGTGGAACTCTTGCTTTCTTTATGGTATGTAACCTCTACTTATTTCCCCAGAAAGGATAAAAATGGTTTCCGCTCCTTTCAAAACAGAAAAATGCCTCTTTACAAGATCAATCTCTTCAACTCTGGTAATGGGAAATGGTTGGTTTACTTTAGAAGTATTTGAAGATAGTTAAAGAAGCAAGAACATTATAGATGCGGTAGTTAAGAAATTTCACTGTGAATTTCATTTTTCAGTTTGAAACTCAGCTTATTTGTTCTTCTGCAGGTATTAACAGAATATATTCTTGTATCAGTAACAAGTGCAGTAACAGTAACAATAGCTGGAGTTGTCAAAGAAGCTGTCACCATCTTGGTATGAGGCATTCCTTAGACGTAGATTGCATGTCATTCTCTGTTTGCTGTGTAATGCTTGCTCGCAGTGAGGATATTTGATTCTGTTATTGCTCTAATAGCATACCAGAATGGTGGAGTGATATATCTATTTGAACGAATAATTTTAAGGTCTTAGGTGAAACACCCTTGATTTCTTTTCAACCTTGCCTGGATTGATCTTAAGAGAAAAGCTTATTCACTTTTCCTTTCTCCCTCATTTTTCTGGATTATTTTAAAAGTATTGTTATCTGCAATTAGTAGCAATAGTATAATGATAAGTTCATGATCAGGGACATCTGTGCATATCTTTGTTTAGTTCTTTGCTATTTCTTGTGCATGGACTTTTGTTTGGAAAAATTCCTTGCTTGGTCATTCAATTATTTTCACAAGTATCACTCAGAAAATGCTATAGTCTTCTGACAGTATACCACCATACCCCATCTCTCCTCCACTCTGTCCCTGAAAAGTACCAATTATTCAATTTTTGCTTATTGTTCTGTTAAGGTTTATTTGCTTGATATCATTTGAGTTTGCTAAAATATGATTGGGGTTTATGGTAACTGAAGTTTGCTGATTACACACTCCTCTCACTCCTACTCATTCGTTCTCTTACGTCACATTTAGAAATGATCAAGGATTATGGTACCTGAAGTTTTCTGTTTACACAGTCCACCTGAGGTCTATTTATTGGTTCCCTGCCTTCATATGCAGAAGTGTCCTTTCTGAGGTTGTTGTATTATTAGCTTTTGTAGACAGTTGAGATCAGATTTAGGAGTATCTGTCCCCATTTAAGAAGCATCCTCATTGAGAATGCACTAATTTTGAAACTATTATTTGGATAATTATGCCCCAATACGCTACTCCTATAATGTTGAGGCCCGCAACAGTTTGAGGATATGCATTGCTAATAGTTTCTGTTTGTTGTAACTAATGTATTTGATGTATATTCAGGTTGCAGTGTTTTACTTCCACGATGACTTCACCTTTTTAAAAGGAGTTGGTCTTGTTACAATAATGGTCGGTGTCAGTTTATTCAACTGGTACAAGTAAGTACTCGAGTTATATGACTTAGAACCTAATTATCTTATTTTCCCAGCAGGCTGTTCTTACAATAATAGTTTCATATAATTGACTTGCTTTTCTGGACCTATGTGACTCAGATACCTGAGGCTGCAGAAGGGTGATATAACTGAAGGTGAAATGAGAGGTTCACCAACAGAAAGTGCAGCTGCAAAATATGTTATTCTTGAAGAGATGGATGATCAACTGGACGGCCCTTGAAACTTGATGTAATTGTTTGCTCATTATGTGAAATTCAGTAAGCCACTATATGAACTAAAAACGATTCTTGAATGCTTTCTTTCTGGTTTTTTGCAAATACATATGCTTCTAGGTACTCGGTGATTTGATTGACAGGGGAACTCAACTGTTCACCAGCTTTATTGTTTTCTAATTTAACCTGCTGCCTTGAACCCTTTTTTTTCTATAACATCACCTTTCTTTCTGTGATGATACACACTAATGAGTAACCTTATGAAGTCAATAACTAGTAGTTTTCTATTTGTATAGAGACTCGCGAGTAACTGAAAGGTCTTTGGCGTGAGCCTTTTCATCTGAAACAAATGTGCATTGTGATAGTGAATATTGTTGTAGGATACGAGTAATGTGACATCTAAGGTATTGCTGCTGGTAAAAAAATTAAATGTTCATTGGTTAAGGTCACAATTGTCCTTGTCTCTATGTGGTTCAAGTACTAGATTTTCTGTATGTTTCGTATACTGCTCTCTTTCGTACATGTAATCAAGGGAGGAGTGCCTTACGTTTTTTAAGTGTGAATGAGATAGTTCTTCAAAGTTTTTGGAGTTTATACATTGTCTATATACACACTGTTAGGCAACTAGATGACTACTGAGATGTAGCTTCTTTTTAAATTACTAGATGACTGCTGAAAGTGGTGGGAGATACTTCAATTATTGTAGCACAGAGAAGAAGTTGGAATATTTGCATGGAAGAAGCTCAAATTGTTTCCCCTTGTGAATAAACGGTTCAAAGAAGCATTTGCTGGCTAGAGATGCGGAAACATGGCTCTTCAGTCATTGCTGATGTCTTCCATCAGAGATAGATATGTGCCAAGAAAAGGAAGATTTTTTTTTTTTTTTGGTAGCAATAGATGAACTTTTATCATCAATCAATTACGCTCCGGGGATACAAAGTCCCAATTTTTGTTGGAAAGGACATGCCTGTATATTTGTATTTTAGATGAAATATTATTTTCCTCTTATCAAAATTTTGACATTGTTTCCGACTGTTAAAATGTTGATAATGAATTGGCATAGAAGATTTGGCAGTATCTGGACTTCTCTGCCTCTTTGTTTGGCCATTCTAGTTTAGCATTGGCCTCTTTCCAGTATTCCTTTTGTTTTTCCGTCTCGTCAAGTTTGAAGCAAATTTCAGTGTACGCATCAAGTTTAGAGACTAATTCTGTACACTTGAATAAGTAATCATCTGCCATTCCTGGAAATTTTTTGAGGAATGTCAACGCAAGGAACAATAATCTTTCTGCAATTTTCAGCCATCATGATCCTTAACCTCAGCCTGTGTTCGATGACAAGAAGAACAATTGCAAATAAAGAGATTGAAACGACTAAAACATATAGAACAAGTCAACATGACCATTACAAGTTCTTCAATTACTGCATGGTTCCTCAAAAGACTGTCAGAGCATGGGGCATGCATTGCATTAATTATATGAACATTGCATTGCATGAGCTGATTTAGTCAAAAGCTGGAAAAACCCGTTACGTCTAAAGCCTTCTCCAACCCCAGTAATCCAATACCTGGGTACTGCCCTGCCCGCGGTTTCTTATTTGGTGTTAGGCTGCTAGATTATTCTTGAACAGGAACAGAAAACAGAGAGGATAAATTTAGAACATTGAATATGTCTAGCGGCACCACAGTCAATGGCGTACGCGTTTCGGTTGCTGTTTTATCTGTGCACCGCTTGATATCTTGAGCTGGCTTTCAGTAGGCTGCTTTTTTAGAAAATGATGATGATATCTTGTGGAAAACAAGAAGCTTCAGATGTATCCTACGCGAGTTGACTATCATCATGCCTGCAGAAAAGATGCGCCCAACACACAGATCAGAAAGTAAACTTGTTAGATCTGCGTGCAGGAAACTTCTGTAGTGTCCTGGTCTAATCTCATGGCATGATGACTTCTCCCCGTGTTCGCATCCAAACAATGACGGGTCAAAGATTTTTAGTTAGGGAGCGGGTTGAATAGTCAAACATATAATAATATCTCATTATCATTAATTACTATATAAAAAAAGTATAGTGATTTTTGATATTTTTATTTGGAGTGTAAGTGTAAGCATTGTTATTATTTTAGTTTTTGATATTTTAATTATGCCCTTATTAATTGACGATTGAAGTTTCATATTACGTTCTTTTTAGTTTATTATCACGTTTAAAATTCATTATATCATATCTATTGATTTAGGAAAAAATAATTTTGAGTGCAAAGCTAGTGCCAATATTAATGTATGAGAATATTATATTTTATGATATTATAACCACGTCCAAAAAGCACATTATCTAGTACTAGTAAAGCAATATTGTAGCAAATAAAGTATAATAAATATAAAATAAAAGTTGTATGATAACTAACAATAAGATGTTTTTAGTTGTAAAAGACAAGATATCAAATTTGGACTCTCTAATCATTTTATTTCCTAGCAATGCAAGGGATATGAGCAATACATCAATTATTGAATTAACATCATTTGTTTGAATCATTCCTTTCTCAATATAATATGGTCAATTATAAGCAAGTACATCACCATTAAAAAGACTCAATAGAGTCGGCAATGATGAGCACTTTGTAACACATTAAAAAATTGTTACATTTTGTGCTTGTTTTTAGCTAATACTTTGTTTTCTAGCTTTTTTTTTTTTAATTCAAATCAATCTTACATTAGGAGTTGGTTTATCATAAATTTACATAAAGACAAATTAATTACTATTTGAAAGCCATACTAGCAAGCTACTAATGATTGTTTGCTCTCATCAATGTTATAGTAATCCTAAGTAAATGTAATTAAAAGTTAGATTGTCATATAATACTTAACTTGAAGGGAATAAAAAAATAACTCCTCATAAATCAATAGAGATTATAAAATATTTTCCATTCGAGATTATAATATATTTTCTATTCGTCAGTCCCTGCACCGATTATAAATATTTCCCCCTCATAAATCAAATCCTGCACCGAAGGCTACATTTCCAAAGAGGGGCTCTCTTATTCCTAGGACCTTAATCCCTCTCCTCCAGCTATCCAAGAACTGCTGAAAATGTTTCCAAAATGTTGGAATTTTATAATAATTATCTCCATTCTTCTTTCTCTTCAGTTAGGAGACGGACAGCCTTTTGATTATCCTACTGCAAATTTGTCTACTACGTGGATCAATAGTGTCTCAGCTAACCATTCTGTTGATTTTACAGATGGTTCAAAGGTGAGAGCCATTCTGCTCAGAGGAACATTTGGGCCTAGATATGCTTGTGGATTCTTTTGCAATGGCAAATGTGATAGCTATCTGTTTGCAGTCTTTATTGTTCAGACTAACAGTGTTTCAAACATTGTCATGCCAAGCTTAGGATTTCCACAGGTTGTCTGGTCGGCTAACAGAAATCATCCTGTCAAAATCAATGCAACCCTGCAACTTACATCAGGAGGAGATTTGGTTTTACGGGATGCTGATGGGACTTCAGTTTGGTCTACAAACACGAGAGGAAGATCTGTCGCAGGTTTAAACTTGACCGACGAAGGAAACCTGGTTCTCTTTGATAGAAATAACAAGGTGGTCTGGCAATCTTTTGATCATCCTACTGATGCTTTGGTTCCAGGGCAAAAATTGGTATCTGGGCAGAAGCTGACGGCTAGTGTTTCAATTACCAACTCAACTGAAGGAGGTTTGTTTTCTGTTTTTGTTAACAACAAAGGTTTGTTTGCTTCTGTAAAAGCAAATCCTCCACAAATTTATTATCAACAGTTAGTTGATGGTACAAAAGCAAATAAAAAAGCAAGCTATGCCAAGTTCCAAAACGGAAGCTTAGCCTTGTATATACATTCTTCTGAACCAAGGGATCCGGATTCAGTGATTACCCTGCCTCAGATTTCCTCAGCTCAGTACATGAAATTGGGGTCCGATGGGCATTTGAGACTATATGAGTGGGCAGACGGGTGGAAAGTGGCGTTTGATATTCTTACTGGTTATCTTGGTGATTGCAATTACCCCACGGTTTGTGGAAAAAATGGCATTTGCTCAAATGGGCAGTGCAGTTGTCCTACATCAGTCAATGCTTCAATGAACTATTTTACACCAATAAACGGAAGGCAGCCAAATCTTGGCTGTTCTGAGATCACTCCTTTGAATTGCAATGCTTCACGATATCATAATTTTCTTGAGCTAGAAGACATGACTTACTTCACATTTAATGCAGATATTACTAGTACCAATATGGATAGCTGTAAGCAAGCATGTCTGGGTAACTGTTCGTGTAAAGCAGCTATATTTCGTTATGGTTCAAATTCTTCTAATGGGGATTGCTATTTACCTGCCCAGATCTTTTCATTGATGAACAATGAGCAGGACAAGACTCATTATAATTCATCTGTGTTCATGAAGGTGCAGATCACACCAAATGCATCAGCTCCTGCAAAAACTTCTCCTAAAGGTACTCCAACTCTTGTCATATTGGGATATGCTATAGCAGCTTTCATTTTATTGACTGACCTAATTGGTTTAACAATCTGTATAATCCGAAAGAAAAGATTAGCCAGGGAGGTTGAGGAGGGCGACTTAGACAATGTACCAGGAATGCCAACTAGATTTCCATTTGAAGGATGCATAGAGCTAGTGCTAACAACTTTCATTGATTTCACCTTCTCGAAAACTTTAGCTTTAGCGGTGAAAAATGACATACAAACAGTGAATCAGAGAATCGCACCAATGTAGTTATTAATTTTATTCTGCATAAAGTCCGATGTATAAAGCACTTTCTTTCGGACATAGCTTCATTTTTGTACTAAGCTGTTTTCTTCATTTCAGATCATGATTAGCAGAGAGTGGAAGCACTAGCCTGAAGAAGCAATGAACCAGAATCTCTTTCTTCTTAATGTTGCAAGTATTGTGTGTTGTTTCTATCTGATAGTTTCTCAGACTTCATGCTACCCCATGGCCTACTCATCGACAACCTGTATCAATCATGAAGTCGTAGTTGTTAATTCATCTCGCTATTAAACACTGAATGATCCTGAATTTCTTAGTGTCATCCTTCTCCGAGAAAGGGTAGTAGCACGGTTCATCTGTAGCTTCTGTGTTACTCAAAATGTTAGTTAATAATGCTTCTTAAGAGCCCTTACTAATAAATAGAGATGCAGATGGGCATCTCTTCTTCTAGAGTTCTCCTGGTGCTGGTTTTGATACTATTGTACTTTTGTACTGTAATATCCCATTTGATATCTGCAACATTCTCGATGATTGTTTTTAACTTGTTGGATCAATGAAGAAGTTTCCATGGTCTTTCGGGAATTTCCTCTCAGTTGAGGAGAAACAGAACTAAATTCGTTGAAAATTGACACGAGTTGGGTCATTACTTTGCAGTCAAACTTGAGCAACTGCAAGTAAAGCTATGAGCGCATGTGTTAGTGGTCATGAATTTCTAGCGACTTTTCTATACCAGAGGCATCAATGCTGAATGACCTAAATACAGTCGATTACAGAAACTCGCCAGATCATTTTTTAGCAAATACAAAGTCACACGTAAAAATACTTTCCTTCAAAAATAGCTTCATCCTTGTCCTTAGTTGTTTTTTGTTCTTTTCATTTTAGATCATTTAGATATCAGGGAGCTGATTGAAATACTTGCCTGAAGAAGCTAGAATGAGCCAGCATCACTATTTTCTTAATGTTGCAAATGTTATTTTTATTTATCTCTCCTTCCGTGTTTTCATTTAGTACTCTCTCAAACTTCATAGTACCCCGTGGCCAACGTATCAACAAACAGTGAGTGATCATGGAATTCTAAGTATTATCCTTCTGAGAGAAAGCATAGTAGCACGTTCATCTGTGGCTTCTATATATTGTACTCAAACTATTGATACAGAATGCTTTTTATGTCACGCCCATATCCGGATTCTTGGACCGGATTTGCAATGTGGCATGCCGTATCTATGAGACCTTACTCCCATAAATACAAGGCATCATAATTATAACTTACAAAATTTCACTAAAATTTAAAACTTATGAATACTAATGAAATACATACATTTCACTAAAATGCACCTATAAAATGCCTTATTCTAACTTCCTAGAATTTAAACATTTACCTATTTAGCTCTCTCAATTATCTTACCTATTTAGCTCTCTCAATTATCTTCTAAACATACACGAGCTGACTTTCTTGATCTGCAAGAAAAATAAAGAGACATGAGTTGAACGACGTACACCCAATAGATAGTACTTACTCCCCTGTTGGATCATGTTGCTATATACATACTATATACATTTAAAAATTGAGTCACACTACACCACATGCATGCATCAATTTAAAATATTTGTCATCTCATTTCATATGTTACATAAATATACTTCATTGAAGGTGAGTGGCATATACATAAGTGACCTCCGTCCAATGTGACACTTAGTCTCGCAGGTTCTAAAGGTGACCCCCATCGAACGTGACATAGAAATATACATAACTTGACATGATCGTATTCATTGAACATACTTGTAAATCATAAAAATATCAATCAGATCATATCATTTTATAAACATAGCTCATAATAGGTTTCATAACTATGGATTGGTCTCATTACATACATAGGTCAATTGGTCGGGCTCTATACTGAACTATCATGACTGTCAATTGGTTGGATTCTATACCAAACTACCTTGACCTTGTCAATCGGCCGAACTCTATACCAAACTACCATGATCATTAGACAGAACTATAGCCCCTACCATTTATTTCATGACCGTTTAGAGTTTTTCGTAACATAAAATCATTTCACACGTCACATGCACCATTCTTTCGTTTCATAAAAATATGCCACTCATTCCATAAAATATTGCATAGCAAAATATTTCAAAAATTCGTAATTTCGTGCTTGCAAAACATTTGAAATAGACATACATGATCCATTTCTTCATATACCAAAATAAAACTCTTACTTGAAAAATATGCATATTTAACATTTCGAAAATGCAGAGGGGTAAGCGCCACCTACCTCAAACTATTCGATTGAAGGGATTCTTAACATGTCCATGAACTCCTTTCAAACCTATAACCAGTGTCATATATATATCTTGATTAGTTCATATGTCCAACTCTTAAGGTGCTTATTCCTATATTGAATAACCCTAGGAAGCATGTCTGAACCTTTTATAGAAAGTAGTTAATAAGTTTCCTAAAATAGAAAGTTTTCGTTTTTAGAAAGTTTCCTAATTGAGAAGGTTCTCCCTTTTTAGAAGAGGCTATAATTTGATTATCCATAAAATAAGTGCTATTTATTTATTTAACTTACTCATTTATTTATTTATTGTAGAAATGGCCGGCATTATTTAAAGTCAATTTAAATATATGTTCGGACCTAGAGCTGAATCCAACCGTAAACATATTTTTCTTTTTATTCAAATAGAACTTACAAGAAAATCTTGAATCTTTAGTATTGTTATTGGGTCTATTTGTCAAAACTTAGATTATTATAATTAATTTTGGGTTTTCAAAACTTCCTGAAGAATGTGTGCAATGTGTTCAACCCTAGGATTCCATGATCAAAGGTGAGACACGTATAGAAAATACTACACTCTTGTTTTTAAGTTTTATAAGATATGTTCATTATATTTGTTTGGGAAAGTTTAATAAGTCCAACAAAATATCCATTAGACCAATTATCCGGTCAATTATTGATTTTATCCTAAAACGGTGATACTAGTTTAACTAAAGCCCAATTCTCTTTCGGCCTAAATCAACCTTTATTAATAATCAACTTTAACTCACAATTTGAAGTATAAGGCCATTAATGTAAAATGCCTTGTTTATTTTATTTTATTTTTGTATTTGGATTTAAAATTTTTTTTATTTGGGTTATTAATAGAGTCCCTGGATTCAATTAGATCAAAATGGTTCTGTTATAACAAGATTGGCTTTATTTGAAGAAACATTGGGTTTGACTAAATTATACTAATTGGGTCATTCTTAAAATAATTTATTTTCAATTTAGGCAGGAATGCTATTTAATCTGAAATTAGTCCAACTCCAAAATTTTTGAACCACAATACAAGTTTTTTTTTTAATATACTTTAGCTACCCTATTCTAATTGACCCAAATCTCAAGGGCTAATTTGCAATTTGCAACAACTCGGAAAACTAGACCAAACCAACGTCTTCTTCTTCCTCTTGTTACTAACAAAGCATCCTCACGAAAACAAAAGACATGACCAATCTTTTATTTGTGTTGAAAACTTAGGAGTAGAATAATCTTAAGGCATTGAACCATTTTATTATTTTCTTCCTCCATTCCAGCAGAAAAACCAAGAATTAACCACCAATACTTTGTCCTTTTAACTCATACTAGGAGATGTTCACCGTGCTTGCGCACGGTGGTACGTTGTAAATATGCCCAAGTTGAGAAGACAGTGAACATGTATTTCAGAAAAGATTTGTTGTACAGAGAAATTATTTAGTTAGGACGGAAGTTTTTTTTTTTTGGATTCTTAGCATGGTTATAGAATATATACTGGAAATGTAAGTACATTTTTTTATTTTTTGTCCTATAACCTTTGACATACACCTTGGATGTTCTTTAGGAGCAAGTACGGAGGCACTGAGGTTAGAAAAAAAAAAAAAGAAATGTCTGGAAGAAGCCGTGTGTTGTTGGCAACTTTTTCAGCAAGAGAATTTTTCATTTGCTAAGTCTAAACTGGTAAAGAAAAAGAAGTTGCGGAGAATGGAATAATATATGAGCAAAAATAATCCTTATATTAAACACTTGAAAAAAGAAACATGATACAGGGAAACTTCTATTTTTGATTGATCTAAATTTATTCATTTTTCATGATGGAGTAAACATGGAAACTATGATACCATGAGAACTGCTTTTCTACTCCATATTTGTTAGAGGTAGGATCCTTTCGTTTTTTATTTTTCACCTAAACCCGCTGGATACCAGGATGCCATCCACATTCGCTGCGAGGAAACAACAAAGGATACTGCAGAGAGTCATAGCAAGAATAAAAATACTTGATCTTATGGCTTGTATCCAAGTAACTATACACCTGAATATGAGCAGAAGCATTAGTCAATTGATCACCATCTCCAGTCCATATCGCTGCAACCTGTGAAGCAGTTGGGAGGTTATATACACGATGATCCAGACTCACATTGCAGTTGAGTACGATCCTATGGTCATCAAGATTTGACACACCTCAGAGATCTTTAAAGAATTTGGCATAAGGGTTGTCTGCAAGGATACGCAGAAGCAGCCTGAGAGTAGTTTCTCTTAACTTGGGCGATCCATCAACTCTCCTGGCAAGCTCTTCAAGGGTATCAAAGAAGTATAACTGAATACCAGAAGCTTTACCATCGCGCGACTGCACATCAAGATAATGATAGACCTGGCCCTGGACACAAAATGTATAAAGGCCATTCCTGTTTTTAGTTAGTTCTCTATCATACTTTGCACCCAATGACGTAAAAGCGACGTTATTATTGTAAGTGCGAACATTTTTCCTAAAGTGTTCACACTCCTCATCTTCTCCAGTGAACAAGCGCCGAAGATCATAAGGCATCGATGAGCTCACAAGGCTAACTCTTCCTCCCGAAAGCAAAAGTTAGGAGGTTCCATATGGAATTGCTGTGCTCCGCAATACTGACAGGGCAGAGTATAAGGCAGGGCCAAAACTTTTTCTGCAATCCTGTCCAACCGAGAAAGAGTTCTTCTGCTACTATTTTTACATTTACCTTGTAGAAAATTGAAGCATCGGACATTAGCGGTAGCAGCAATTAGGTGAAACCATAAATTAAGCAAGCACAAGAAAGTAAAAGAAGCAGGCCATAAGCAGTGATAGAAGGACGACTGACAGCGACCAACTTGACAAGACGAAAGAAGCCACCACTTAAATGGCAGCGAAAAAAAAGGAAGCAGTCATACCTGCATTAGCAGATAGCGTTGGAACGCCAGTCAATCCAATGAGAGCCTCAGAAATATTTGGTGCATTGGATACAGAACCTGGTAAAGATGCTAGTCCATGACCATTTAGAGTAACTTTGGTAGGCTCGGCAAAGTAACTTTGTCTAGGATATGTTTTCACAACTCAACTCGCAGCAAATGGCATAAATAATACAAAACAGCAGTGACTCATCTATAAAAGCGAGCTTCAGCGAACAAAAAACATGACATTTTCTCTAAGAAGCGAAACCCAGCAGAAAGAAATAACAAAGAATAGTCCTAGGAACAATGACATATGCAATGAGCAAACAAAATATAAAACTAAACACATACAGATAGGAGGAATAGCAGTAACTTAAA